GCCGCATCAGCTCGACAACGGGTACGGCAACACTCAGTCTTGTTGACGTAGACCCCGCTGTTTGTTCAGCCTATTGACAATGATGTACATCGCCGTGTTCCCCATTGCCATAAACGTTCGGGCCTCCAACTCGTACCATGAGCGCACGATAGGTATCTGGGCCAGGGAGGAGGAACCTCAACGAGGACAACGGCGTCTCCTATGTCATGGTTCACGTCCGAAACCAACTCACCTTTGATCTATGGTACATCTTCTTAGGGACATTCTTGATCTGCATCGCAGAGTCGACGCTTATCATGGATGTTGCCGAACCGGTACGTGTCACTCTTTAGCCATGTGGGACACGATTCTCACGTTTGCAGACTTTCTCTATTTTTGCCGTCCTCTTCGAAGTCACCTCGGCCTAGTAAGTCTCCCTCCATTTGGCTGCGAAGGTTGTCCCGCTAATTTCGTCGCCACAGCGCCAACGTCGGGCTCTCTTTGGGCGGGCCAAGCGGACTTGTCTCGATGTCGGGACACTATACGATATTCAGCAAAGTCGTCATTTGCGCGATGATGATCCGAGGTCGTCACCGTGGTCTTCCTTATGCCCTCGACCGCGCCATCACTCTTCCCTCCGAACATACTTTATCGGACGAGAGTTCATCTGCTGAACAGATCCCAAAATCGTTGTCGCTTGGTCGCACCCAGTCATCAGGAGCTCGCTCAGCTCCGTAGATTCTGCTCACAATGGAGTTGGAAACACTCGTGTTCCGAAGACAGACCTCGGAAAACAATTTTCCAACAAGCCCTGATTGCCGTGACCGCGGAAGGATAGCAAGTGACCCATACCTAGACTCACAGAATGATCGCTGATTTGGCCGAACAGAAGCCTACGGGCATCATAGGGACGCGAAATTCTGCTCAGTACAGACATCTTCGACTCTCGTGAAAATTGTAACTTGACCGCATAGATATGAACATCAGTTTGCCTATCAGATGGCAACACCTCGTCCGTAAATAAAAGCCATCCGTGATCAATCGCTGCTGATCTGCCGCTGCAGCTGTGCGGCAACTGTGGACGTGATGTTTCAAAGATCACAAGTGAATGCGTCATGCTCAAGTCTTGGTGCACGAAGGTGATCGCTGTCTTCCACTTCTGGGAGGCCAGACTATGATTTGATGGTCTTCGGGCTTTCTCAAGAAGGACTTGACTCTCTATGTGAAAGAGGCAAGCTGCGAGCGGTTGGCATGTCCCATATATCCCTTCTTGAGGATATTGGACAACGAAGAACGGCCGGCAAAACTTTGTTTGGGGTTATTCATCATGGATGGTAATATCTCCGATCTTTTCGTTAGGCGTTCCATAGCAAAGCGATAATGGTCGCTTCCCAACGCTTTGGGGGTGGAGAAGAGGAGCGAGCGCAGGCGCGTTGAGGCCCAAGAGAACCTTTCAGAGAAGCATGTTGGAGGGCAAACGACCAGCCTTGGTCGCACGAGCAAGCAATCGACAAAAGATGGCCCACCAAAAGGCTTTACAGGAGTGTCACAATGTAGCAGGGAGGCATGGCACAGTGTTGATCTACTGTAAATTGGGGTGCTCTATCATTTGGTGTGACATTTCTTTTGTCGACCACTTGCCACATGGTACTCTCTGAACCGCGAGTGACGGACTGTAAGTATGGATCATTTCGTTTTTAGTATTGCAGTTCCAGCTCGGATGCGACTTCGGTCAGTAGTGGTACTTGTTCGAGTGTGCCTCATACACTCTGCTCATGCGAACCGCTTCCCGGGGTAAGTATTCGTCTTGACGATGCCCTCGAACGGATGCTACATATAGACTTGCCGTGACGCAATATCCCGAGGCTATCCTCTTCTGGTTCAGCAAGCCTGGCCTTGTGGCGACTTTCTTCTCTGACGAATTGGGCGCCATCGGTAGGGGCCTTCCAGACAAGAGTCGAGTGCTGACGGTACTTCTTGGCGCGCAAAAAGTTTTCTTGCTTTCTCTGGCATCTCCTGTATCCCGAAAGTATCGAGAAGCAGTTGGTTAGACTCCTGGACGAAAGCAGCTCCTCATATCTACTTTGAAGTGCTCACGATTGCGACTTGTTCGTTGTCCAGGCGAAAAGTCATCGACGCGCGCTCTTATTTATGATACCGAGGTAAGAGAGAGTAGAAGTAGTCGCCCAGCTTGCCCTTCCTAGTATGTTAGGGGGAAACTTCAATAGTGGTTGGACATGTTTTCCTTGTTGTTCATTTATTGCTGTACGAGGAGAGGTCGGACATGTCTTGGCGAACAGGATCTGCGATGGCATCGGGAAGCATTCAGCCATTCAGTATGACTGCGGTTTTAGGGAGTAATGGCTGTCGACAAACCTGAGGTCATCGTCATAGCCTGCGTGACGTCAATAGACGCCTTAACACGAATGTTTCTTCATGCAGGCTTCGTACATGATTGGCGAATTTTCTCGAGAGATCTTGTGATCTTGGGAACTCTGAATCTGAAGCCTGCCGGCCTCCTTGTTATGCTCCGAGTCTCGTCAATAAATGGAGCAGCCGAACATCCCCATGCTGATTGTCAGCCTCCACACGTCGCTAGAAGAAACATACACGACCAGACACGAAAAAATCCTCACGGCAAAGGCGCTTGACGAGTCCATTAACGTCGTTCACGTCAGGCGCAGACCACATCAAGCCATGGTCCCATACCCGCCCCCGCAGCCGCGACACTAGCCAGCGGCACAGGCGGTAGTCTGCATGAATATCCGCCGGGCGCAAGACACTGGCAGGCCAGGTATTTTCGGGGCTGTGCAGACATGATGCAGAAACAAGCGCAGCCACTAGGAGGTGCGGAATCAAGTCTGGTTTCTGGGGTTTCGACGCGGTTCTGACGTCGATGTGCCTGGCTCATAAAGGGAAGCCCTACGCAGCACCTCTTTGCTGCATGCTGCCCGCTTCCAGACCCCGAACGCATCCCCTCCCAGGGTCGCATTGAGCAGAGGCCTCCATGTACATGGTAGTGAGTGTGGAGCCAATATACGTCGGAAACTCGATGCCCGTCCGGCCGGTTTTGACAGGCCACGATCACTGCATATTGTTACCTAACCTACCTTTCAAGTGAATGCTGGTCCAACATCAAGTTCCGGAGCCAGCCTGCCGCCGCGACAAGGTTTCGGTTTCGATAAACCCGGCAACGGAAGGCAGCGGCTCTTTTTTTGAGAGGAGGCCAGTGGGGAACGGCTAGGGATGGAACAAAGTTTTAGCCCAACCTTCAAGAACAAGAAAAGGGCCATTCGTGCGTCTCCAGTCGCACGGCACATGGGTTTCCAGGCACCGGTTTAGGGAAACAATCCAGCAGCGTGATGCGGGTTCCGCCTTCGCGTCAAGCGGCACCCCGGCTTGTCAAAGGGTAAGTGAACAGCATCCGCGACCCAGCACCAAGTCGGCTGTCTGTCCAATGGGCGGGGGGCCCCCCCCGGAGTTGAGGAGCATCCCCTTTCCCCCCCCCCTCTGGCCTCGTCCCCTCTTCCACACGCCCCTTGGCGTCCTGATCAGGCGTTAGGTCCGGGACTCCTTCTGGTTACGAGGGGTGCAGGGGGCATCTCGGTGG